CTTGTTTTTACAGTTGTTGTTGCATTTTGTTGTTTTAAGCTTTTATGTCAGTGCATTCCACTCATTTGTCGTAGTTGTATTTGTTTATAAATGGTATAAATATAGACCTTAATATGCTTTTTGCTTCCTTTGGTTGTTGTTTTTTTGCCTACCGCACTTGAAAATTGATTACAATTTTCTTCTGAAGTTAATAATTTATACCCCCAGCCCCCCTCCTGCTCCTGGTGGTGTTCTGTGAAGCATGCAATATGGCAAGAAAAGTGAAAATGCCCTTCCCTTTTTTACTTGTTGGTGGGTGGTTGGTGGTTGGTGGAGCAAGACACCCCCATCTTCGGCAACTTATTCTCCTTTTGGCTCCTACCTTCCATTGGCGTCTTGGTAATTCAATTAACGTGTTTAGCATGCCTCTCGTTTCCTTTCCCTTTCCTTTCCGTACCCTTGCATCGCTCTGCCTCCACCCCGGCTAAAGAATATGTATGTTGACCCATATTTATGGTATTTCTGTTTTGCTGTTAATTAATATTGGAATTCTCATGTTTCGTGTAGTTCCGTCGAGTGTCGTTGCCTAGCTTCATTTAGTTTCGTTGGTTTTCCGTTTCTCGTTGCTCGATGGCCTGTGATAAGCCCTGTTCCACCGCATCTCCCGCTCCCCACCGCTTCCGAATGATTTTCATCAGAAATTAACAGTTTAGTTTCCAGTTTATAGTTTCATTATCTTCCTGATACTATAGTTTAGTGTCTGTGTATGAGCTGTGGTTTCTGAGCCAATCGGGAGGGGGAGAAGGAGCATCCACTTTCTTCACCTATTTGGCAATGTGGCTACGCTAAGCTATGCTACGTTATGTGGTACCCCCATTCCAGCAATCAATAACGTTGACGTTGGGTCTTTTCTCTGAACTGCCATATAATGGCACTTTTCTAGTTTTCCACTTTGCTTGGCGATTTTTCGCTTTGCTAAGCTCAAATCCGTGCTGCCTCAATGGTGCTTCAGTCGGTTGGCATAGCCGAGATCTGAGAGAGATCTCCTCACTTTGTTTGCCTTAGTAATCTCCATCTTCACATCGCCTTCCCATGCACATCTCCTCGCAGACAGACTGGAAATTCGATTCATTAAGCTATTTCTTTGTTTGCTTTCCTTGTATCTAATTGCTATTTCGTACGGCTTCTTGGAGCAACACTTTGCCTCGATTAACACTCCGGTTACCCTCTTCTTTTTGCCATTTCAGCAGTAGCTCTCCCTTTGGTTCCCCAATGCGCGAGACTTAGATGCTCTAGTGGACGGATTGGGATTGGGAAGAGTCTAGATGTCGTCGAGCAACGGCGGCATAAATAGTGCCGCCACGAATGGCCGCAGTGGAAGCACCGGCAGTGCCAACATCAGCCTCAATATCAAGGCGCCTGCGGCTGGAGGAGCGGCAGCAGTCTCAACAAGCACCACAACCACGTCAATTACACACAAAACACTGCCGGACCTGAAGACGCAGCGGAGCAACAGCGTCTGCCACAGCCAGGAGACCTACTCCAGCAACAGGAGAGTGGCACCCACGGAGAAGCCGCCAGAAAAGCCGCTCAGCTATGCCCCGGCCCAGAGTCGGGCCACGGAAAAGGAGCCCAAGGAGGGCCACTTGGTATACTGTGAGGGAAAGCTCCACTCGGGCCCGCTGAAGTCGCTCATCACCCACATGGTACCCACCCACGAGTACTACCCGGAAGAGAGCTTTGTCTTTGCCTTCCTGCTCAGTGCCAGGCTCTTTGTGCGGCCGCACGAGCTGTTGGCGCAGATTTCAACGACTTGGGAGCAGCAGCAGGGGGCAGGAGGCGGATGCGATGTTGTGGACGATGCCGGACAGGTGCTGTACCTCAGCATTAACTCTGCCTCGCCTCTGACCCAGAGAAAGGGAGCAGCAGCAGCGGCATCGGCGGCTACGAGTACGGAGCTGGAGCCAAAGCCGCAGCAGCGGACGAGTACACAGCGGTCGGCCCAGCACTGCATACGGCTGCTCTCGGAGTGGATCGAGATCTTCCCGTACGATTTCAGAGATGAGCGCCTGATGCAGCAGGTGCGCATCCTGGCCCGGAAATGCGTCTACATCGACAACTCGTTGGGCAAGCAGGTCTCTCGCATTCTACAGCTGCTCGTGTCCCGTCTGACGGCCCTGGAGCAGTACGAGGAGTTCCTGCTGACGCTAACCACAGAGGCCAGCGAGCGGGAGGCTGGGGCGGTGGTTGCTGGCCAAAGTCAACACCACCATAACCATCACCATCATCATTTGCATAATCCCTTTCAAACTTTTCTGGGCAGCTCGCACTCGCATGCCAATGGCGTGGGCGGTGGGGGCTCGGCCAGCGGAACATCCAACTCCTCCTCCAGCGGCAACACCTCCTCCACATCCAACTCAAACTCGACCACCCCTCAGCCAGACGAAGTCTTTGGCATCATGGACATGTGCCCGAGTTGCGCCCACTTGGCCCACCAGTTGACAGCCATCGAACTGGAGCGTCTGTCGCACATTGGGCCAGAGGAGTTTGTCCAGGCGTTTGCCAAGGATTACCCCCAGCAGCAGGTCAAGGATGGAGCAGGCAGTGGAGGCAAGAGTTCATTGAACGATATGAAGAAGACGCGCAACCTGGAGTCGTATGTGCAGTGGTTTAATCGCCTCAGCTACTTGACGGCCAGCGAGATTGTCAAGGTGGGTAGCTGGCGGAAGCTAATCCCTCCCGGCCGAACATATGTCATACGTGGTTTTGTTATTGCGTCCATCCTTTGCTTGCAGTATCCGAAGAAGAAACAGCGTGTTCGCATCATCGAGTACTGGATCGAGACGGCCCGTGAGTGCTTCAACATTGGCAACTTCAACAGTCTGATGGCCATAATAGCAGGTCTAAATCTGGCGCCAATAGGCAGGCTCAAGAAGACAGTAAGTTTAAAGGGGATATAACTATTCGTATATGAAAATATATTTTACTCTCTGCTTTGAACTCATCTCATAATTAGTGGTCGAAAGTGCAATCGGCCAAATTCTCAGTGCTGGAACATCAAATGGATCCAACATCAAACTTCAATAGCTATCGCTCGACGCTCAAAGCTGCTATGTGGCGCTCCGAGGGTGCCACAGAGGAACGCGAACGCATAATCATTCCATTCTTTAGTTTATTTGTTAAGGACTTGTACTTTTTAAACGAGGGCTGCTCCAATCGGTGAGTACAATCATTAGCCACAAAGCAGGATAGATGATTGATCGTTCTTGTTTCGTCCGCCTTAGGCTGCCAAACAATCATATCAACTTTGAAAAGTGCTCCCAGTTGGCCAAACAGGTGACGGAGTTCAACGAGTGGAAGAAGGTGACGTGTCCCTTCGAGAAGCTTCCGAATGTCATTGCCTATCTGCAGCACAGCGCAGTGCTCAATGAGAACACCCTCTCGATGGCCTCTTTCGAGTGTGAGCCTCCCGAGAACACAGAGGAGAAGGATCGCTACAAAACGGTGAAAGCCGAGACGAAACAACAACTTTTGCAGCAGTTGCAGGAGCAGCAGCAACAGCACCACCAGCAGTCGCAGTAGTAGCCACTATTTAGAGGGGTAGATTAAGCTACGCTTAAGCGCTTGCCATGATTATATCTTCTATTAGATGTGTAAGATTGGGGACAGTTTATTAGTTTAAGTTGAGTCGATGGTGTAACAGGAGCAGTTAGGAGTAAGACCCTCCCGACCCATCCGCAAGCCCTTCTTAGCCTCTCTTGGAGAAAGTAAAGCTTCTGAAGCTATGTATTAACCATTGTCTTGTCAACCCTCTCTCAATTGGATCCTCCTGAATTTGTAAGCACTGATGTCCCCTGATGTTCCCCCAATCGAACAAACGAACGAACGCAAAGCATCTCCGAAATGTTGCCAGTAATTTAAATTATTTAACTTTTAAGCGAATATTAGCACCGGTGGTACCATGTATGTACTTAAAGCATTTTATTGCTAACAACCAGCTAATGCAACTAATTTAGTTTCTTAACAAGTAATATTTTTTATTACACAAAACATTTTTGATGTCATAATTTATGTTCAAAACCATCTGACAAAGCGCACGAGTGCGCGATATTTGTAAGTAAACAGTATTTATATTTATATATACATACACAATTTTATAGCTAAATGAAATCTTTTTTGATATTCTATAACGATTATATCCGATTAGTATCCGACAGATTGGATGATAGGATGCTTTTGGGTCGAGGCTTTTTCATGCTTCAGGAAATCTCTATTGCACAGCATTCGCTGAGCAAAAACAGTTTCGTATGCTTAAGAACAACAAAAACAACAAGAACAGAAAGTACACCTTGTGGTAGCTCCAAAAGATGCTTCTTATTTTAAGAATTTAATTTTAAACAAATTTGCATAATTAAGTGAAATTGTGGATGGTCATAGATGATATTAACTATAAAGGGTCTAAAAACAACATTATTGATTTAAAAACTGCTTTCGAATAAAGAAATGAACAAAACAAATTCGTCCGGGTTACTTATTCGCTTGCATTTGAACATACCGCCATTTGTTTTCGACTGTTACACACTATTACGCCACCTGGCGTATTTGGTTTCAAGTATCACAAGTGCGGCGACACCTTGCGTTTATATGAATCGATACATATCGAATTTGAATCAAAATTACTAACAAAAGTTATCAGCTTGTCGTATATATTTTTTGTATATTTAAAGTGCTGCCTAATATCTTTCCAGGACCGTCATAACCGTCACATGGCATCTCGTAAAAAAGGTGCAGAAAACTTGTTGTTTATCTAGATAATTCTATTAAGCAAATAATCGAAGAAAGCTATGTCAAAAGCAGAAGACAGCTGTCAAAATTAATTATCTATCTCTAACAAGATACACCTTTGGGGAACAATTATTAACAAATTGTCTATTCCATAATCAGTACATTCGTGTTTTTTAAATTGTTGTTGTGAGTTTTTATCGAGAACAACAATAAAAATGCGTTTACCCTTGGTGTTAATATTAGGTAGTGTCATCCCTCTCTGAGACAATAATTAGTACATGTCATGCTAGTAATTGTGTCCTGCCTAAGAGGCCTTCGAGTATTGCCTCACATTTATAGTTATACCATGCAAATTTCTTGCGTCGACGCATGACGCAAAGAGCGGACGATTTGTTACGTAGCCAAAAAGTAGAATGGTGGCCAAACCTAATACAGTTATACCATGCATGCGCAGAAAACGAACGGTTCTTCGCCGCCATTACAGCTGTTATTGGATTCGTGGAAGTCTCGGACCGGATGAAATATTAAACTCCAATCAAGAGCACTGGCAGATCAAATCGGGATATAGTGCCGGAAGGTGGGCAGGAAGGATTCTCCAGTGACAATTTGCGCGTCTCCGTGTGGTAGAATCGCGACATTCGCGCTGGAAAAACCTGTTGTTGTTGCTGCGCTTTCGATTAGTGTTCTAGCGGTAAATTTTAGGCGGAAAAATCGATTGTTCTCATTTCATTGTTTTTGTTTTGGTTGACGGCTTCGTTACGCGATTCCTGCATTCTCCCCGCTCGGCCACCGACACGGCCACATGACTCATGCACGGCTGCAACAATGAAAAGCCACAATAAGTACGCCAAGTTGCCCCAAGACCTCGATTTGAGTTTCCAAAGCGATCTGGACCTGCTACCGGACACAGCGGCAGACATCGACCTCGACATAGATGTGGACGTGGATGCCCTCAACCTGAGTTCGCCCGCCGCTCTGGACCTCCTCGACGACGAGGACGACGAGATTGTCATTGCCACTAGTGGCGGCGGCAGCGGCGCCGGTGACAGTGGTGGCAAGGGTGACCAGCGTCTAGCACCAAAAGCCAAGCAGCGCAAAAACCCATTAGAAGAGCAAAACTTCCACAGCAAGAACAAAATCTGCGGTCTTGGCAGCGACAGTGTTATCGAGGTGAGTCAGAAAAGTCGGTAAAATTGCATTTGTTATCAGAGCTCACAGTTTTCTCCGGTACGCTCCGTTCGCCCCCATACAAGACGCACCATGACAGAGCTCATGCCAGAGTGCAACTTGTGGCTGATTCACCCTTGTCTGGGGCCCAGACGCATTCCTTTTTTCCGAATATACTCTGGCGCAATCTGAAAAATGCGACCCACAACGGGAACAGCAATGAACATGCCACACCACAAAGGAAAACAAAGCAACATAGCATTCTGTTCCACGTTCTAATCAGAGGGGTCCGAAGACTTAGATACCCTTACCGGTTCAATTTAAAATTTATATAATTATGTGATTGAAAAGGTTGCGTATAAGGATGTGGGACTTATGGGACCAATGAATATATGTAGTTTATAGATACAGACATAAGTAGGTATATTTTAAAATCGTACAAATAACCTACATATGGATTGTTAGGATGTTGTGGGCCGAAGGTCGCGTTAGTAATTTGGGAATAATAGTATCTTAAGTCTTACCTGCTATACGCTATGAAGCATTGCTCCACTTTCTCTGCGTTGCAAACGTTTGGTAAAAATACAAATACTTTCTACAAGGTTATGCTTGTAACAAAGCAAAATTCCTACAAAAACAAAACAGTCTTGAGGGAGGGGCGGAGAATAGAAGCAGATTCAGAAAAAAATCGATAAGCAACAAAGAAATATCTTTCCGTTTGCTGACGCAGCCCTGCCCCCTCCGTCCCCACCACCTGGCCCAAAGGTTTTTCCCAAACAAATCCCTGTTAACTTTTAATCGCAGACCGAGTGGGAGGGGGAACTGTGGGAAACGCCACCGAGTAAGTAATTCAAAATGTCACGCAATTGTTGAAGCCAGAAGGAAAGCCAAGAAAATTGCTGGTCGTAGTGGGTGGACAGATTTAGCCAACGAAAATGTCCGTGATGTTAATGCGGTCCGATATTAATGGAATTTGTGTTGACAAAGTCGAGTCATCGTTACCGCTAGGTGCCGTAATGATGTCCGTCCCCCCCAGAATGTTCGCAGGGCCGCAGATGAAGATAAGCTGTCTTTTCTCTCTTTTTTGTCGTTTCTTTTAACACCCGGTACTCGAAGAGTATTTGTGCACGAAAGTGGATGTATGTAACGCACAGAAGGAAGCGTTTCCTAGTGCTTAGGTACAGATGTACCACCGAGTACCGGGTATAAAAGTTGTGACGCGTAGGAAGCGTCTCACACGTCCCTCCTCGTTTTTCTTCGACCAAGTCATCAATTTTTCTTTCTTTAGATTATCTTTCAAGTGGCTCAAGCGGCGATCCGAAATTTCTAGATAGGGCACGGCGCAATCCCCTGGAAAATCAATCAAAAAATCTATAATTTCCGCCCATCCAGAACTCGTTACGAGTTGTATGCGGGTATAAATAAATAATTCAGTTCATTTGATGGAAAGTATAGGGTCCGTACCTCCTGTACCCACTCCCCCACACCGAAAGCTAGACGCGTGCCCCAATCGATAATGCGTCAGACCCGTGTCAATCATAATGTTTCGTGTCCCACACACGCACTCCTCCTTCCTGCCACTACCGTTAATTGTGTCACCAGCTCCCTCTGGCAGCTGCACTGGACAGTCATATTGCGTGCCATTTTGCGTCCAGTTCCAGTTCCAGTTCCCTTGCCCCCCATCAGCTCCAGCGATAGAATTGTTGTACTTACTTCTGCCCGACCCTTCGGTGCGGTCTGCCACCGAAAAAGCTTTGACAAGCTTGTCAATCTCATTGGAGCTTACGAATATGCTGCGTACGTGGTAGGGTTGAAAAAGTAATTTTTGGTGCGTTGAGGAGTGCCTCGACTGGTGCGATACTCCGCAGTGGTCAGAAATATACATAAGGGATATAAAATATGAATTGGTATATCAATATGTCCACATCCACAGCCAGGGGATTACACGCATGCCATCTCTCTCATCAGGCCTTTAAAAAAAGCGGTTGTAATGCGCATACCCTTTGTAGAATGTATTACGCTTTTAGATATATAAATGTACCGGAGCAGCAAAACTAATATACCTAAATTACTTTTAAACGGGTATCCTCCTATCTGTCCGTTTTTTTCCTGAATATAGTTCAAGCTGTTGCTGATTTGATTTTTGCATATTTAATTGAGCGAAAAATCCGCAAAGGTATTTAAAGATTCGGTTTCCGAAGAGTATACTTTCTCGTTTTTTTTCTTTCATAAAGCTTATTCTGAAAACTGTTTAGACCGTGGCTCCACCGGCTTCCGGCGGTTACTGACAGCGTTGATGGTTCCCTCGTTCCTAATAAATAGACCTGGACTATAATTAGGAGTAATGGAAAAGGCTTTAATGGCAGTATGATTAGGTATAAATACGCCGACCCTGCCGCTCCGATAATCCCTCCAGCACAGTGACCACCTGGGACTATTCGAGACCATTATGGCTGAAAATAATTGAGTAACTATTTATCAAATGCGCCAACCATGATTGATTTGCTTCACTCGCCAGCAGCCATGGCTAGAGAACCCACAAGTCTGAATAGAGTCAGCCAGTGAAAAGTTTCCTCTCACCCAGACTCAATCTCAATCTCAATGAAAATCAACGCAACGCAATTTCAGCGGTGACCGCGTTGGGGGCGACTCTTGACCTGGTCACTAGTGTCCGTTATCAGTCGATTCAGGCTGGCGATTACCCAGTGTTCTCAGCTCTGTGCTCCAGTTCTCCTTCTGGCCCACTCGGATGTGTCTCCATTCAGAAAGTCTTGCACATATCTTTCAGGGCACTTTGGCCCGGTTCATTTGGGGGTCTCTCCTCTCACCTTTCGTAACCAATTAATGTACATATGTGTGTGTTGGTGTGTGTGCAAGTGCACCTCATTACGAGTACGACCTGCTCGCAATCTAACCTACATTTGTGGCAACGAGTCGTCGCTGTAGCTGCAGTTGCACGCAGTTGCATACACCATGTGGTACGTGCTAAGCTTCATTTTGGGGCCAAGTCGTTGGCTGTTGTTTTATTTTCGTTGTGGCGTCTGTTTATTTTCAGTATACGGGCACACAATGGCACAGCAACGAAGGCGCAAAGTGATGGGTGGTGGATGGAGGACTCAGGACGTGTCTGGTCCTTTGTGGCACTGGATAGGCGTTTGGTTGTTGGGGCGCGCCGTCACTCTGTTGCATGCCTCTCTTCTTTGTGGCGCTGGCTTTTCGCTATTGTTGCTTTTGTGACATGCAAATTTATGCATAAAGTGCAGTTGCACAAAATGAATTTATCATCCTGCCCGCTTACATGGCCCTCTCTCATTTACCATCTAGAATCAGGCATATCTGAGATATGCCGGGCTGGGAAGGGCAGGGCAGGGCAGGGATAGCGGCAGGACAGAAATGGAGTAAGCTGCAAAGTGACGGGCGGCATTTAAGAGCATTTATTATAATCATAAAGTACAAAACTGCATTATTATGCATTGTCGTTACACAGTGCGTGCCAACAGGAAGCAAAGGGAGATGGTCCATGGTCTGCAGTTGCAGCTGGAGCGGAAGTTGGCTTCGCCCAGCTCCCCTTTTAGCTCTGCTCTACATTTCCACAATTTCCATAATTTGAATGGAGCGACAATGGGCCAAAGTTTTGGCACACAACTCGACAAGATTTCCAGCTCCGATGGATCACGGTTCAATCGATGGAGTGGTTTCAGTATCTCTGGATGGTTGGATCTCGGTTGCATCGCTCTGTTCGAGCACGGTCCGTGCCGCATAATTAAAAAGTTAAAAACTTGTTTTTGTGCTGCATTCCGCATTTACTTGGGCAAAGATAATTTGCACTTTTAATTGGCCGTAAAAGAGCGAGAAGGTAGCAGGGAGTAAGGGGTACAGGATGCAGTATGTGGCAGCTGCGGGCGCTGACTCTCAACTTTCTCCTGTACATCCTCGTAATTTTATGCTCTGCCACAACTGCTTCGTGTGTTGCAATTGTTGTCATAAATGTTGGCGCTAAAATTTGCATTTTATTCGTGGCTTACAATAATGTCTCCCCCCGCCACCTCATTGCCATTCTACTGTAATGCCCCGTAAACCTGACATCAAAATGCTTTTAGGTGCTTTCCCCCTTTTCCGTGTTTTCGGTTACGGTGTGTGGGCATTTATACAGTTTCTGGGATTGGCGCACCCTCAACTCCCCAGAACAGTCAGACAACGGACCAACCAATGTCGGAATATTATGCTTATCGCCATTCGGACTCGGATTTCATATTGTTTTATTTTATTTCATAATTGCATCTCATTCTGCACCAGAGGCAGCAACTTTATATTTCGCTCTCTTCTGATCTCTGGCATATTCTCGGACACATCATCTGATTGGAGTCGCACAGGTTTAAACTTTAAACTTTTTTGTTAGACTATACCTCAAAAATGTTTTATCAGCCACAAACTTTACAAATTGAATTAATTGCGTGCAAAATGCCAAAAATATAAAAGTGTAGAGAGCATAAAGCCACTAACTGTCGGTTGGACATCCTTCCTTTGCCTTAGCCTCTTCCCTTTGCGGACATCCTTTAAAAAGTTGTAGAAAAATAGCTGCCAGAAGGGTCTGCGGAAAAACCATTTTTGAGGCAAATTATAACGAGTGAAAGCTGCAGAGCGGAACGGGCAGGGAACCACGATTTCGAGAGGAGTATTAGCATAACAACAGGAGCGGAAACAGAACCTGAAACTGAACTGAAACCAAACTTGAGCTCTAGATAATTTCATATCCGCATAAATATATTTTAAACGATGCTGTCTTGGTGCAAGACTCGCTGAGGATTATGTCTCCCAGCCTAGGAGCTAAGGAGTCGAGGAGCAATCATAGACAACACAAACAACAGGAAGTGGGTTCGGTTCGGTAGGTCTTCACGTGTGTCCTTAGTGCGCCACTTCCGCTCTACTCGACAGCTTCAGCGGCAGCCAGATAAAGGATTTCGGAAAAAACTCTCGTCAGTGCTAAACAACTTGCAACTGTG